TTTATGAGCTTGGATGTCGACCTTAACTGAAAACTAGCAAGACTATGAAAACGTATGTAAAGATGAAATGGGCCTTGTAGACTCTTCTAGTTACTCTATGTCATTTTAATTCTCATTCCGTTTTCTGTATGGCCAACTTACCAAAATCACTTCCAGCCAATTTTACAAATGAACTGAAGGCCCTAATAAGGCGGCTGTTGAATTATCAAACAATATTGTCCAGTTGATGAAGGACTGGCAACTGAATTTCTCTACAATTATATGAGTTTCTATTGAATTTAACATACACTTGCTTTCCAAAAAGGTATCCTTTTCCGGGCATGAGTTGACTGCAATTTTGAACTCGACTTGGTCTTCTCAGCACTATCACCGGGACTCAAAACCTAACGTTGCAGCGCCTATTCTCAACACGTTAGCCATTACACCGTAATGCCATGAGTGCCCTTGGATCACAGGACAGATTGAATATCATAGAAGACCAGGTATTTTGCCTACCACATTCTGTGATAGAAGCGTCGATGAAGCAAAGTTTTAATTTCTATTGTGATCGCCTATATTACATATTCTTTGTTTATACCTAAGCTTTTTAAAGCTAATTATATATGAAAAAACGAGATTTATTCACCCTATTTCATTAAGATGATGGTAGTATGAGTAAAATTTATGTGTAAACTTGATTTTACTCATTGCAATATGGGGAAATTCACCTTCATGATATTAGGGAAATTGGTTGAACACATCTAATATATGTGATGTGGTATTCTCGAGACACCTTCTTATAATGGAAAAACAAATAATCTAGTCGATTGTTATAGCAAATTCAACTTTGCTTCATTAACAATCCGACCAGAGCACGTGACTTCTGGCCAAATACCTTGCCTTCATTGAAATCCAAATATGTCCTTGAGCCAAACGTATCGAGATTATACGTTACCATGCTGTGATTCGAGTCCCAGATGGGTTGATATGGAACCAGTTGAGGCGAGGTGGAAACTCCACTGCTCTACAGCTTGGGTGAGAGTACCCTTTTGGAAAGCAATGTCATCAACTCAACGAAATAGAGTGAATGCACCTCATATATACGATCTACCGGTGGTCTTGAAAAACTTATTTATAAACGAAAAATATTGTCCCGTTCTGCTCGGCTTGAAATTGGTGGCTATGTTAAGCTGCTGTTGTCAGGCCTCCTATTAGCACCGATGATTCAGGATCTCCAACTAAATTCAGACAAATGAGTTGCATTCACTGTATTTCATTACGACGATGCGGGTAAGTCTCGAGTACCTACTTATTCACGAATAATGTATACAAGTTGAAAATTTATATTTATGTACAATGCATCACCATGCATCCAAGTGCATGTAGATACAAGTTGCATGATATGAAGTAAAGGCACAATTTTCACGCCCTTTGCAGATGCCCATGGCTCATAAGGCCAGGGGAGGTCCGCGTCTTTACATGCGACTCGAGCCCCGATAGGCAAAGAGGCGAATTTATATATATATAAATATATAAATATATATATATAATTGTTTGTGTGTATGCATAAAACTCTGGTCGTAAATGGAGGAGTAAAAAGTTTACCTAATGCAAAATAGATCTAGAATATAAAGGCAGTCATGGCGGGGAGGCTCTGTTGAATGAGGACAATGAGGCCCGAGCACGCACATACGTTTCCGGGGGAATCACTTGAAGTATCTTGGGTGATACATATCTTTGTCTGCATTTGTTTGTGTGTGTGGGTGTGTGTGTGTGTGTGTGGCAAGTAGTAGTTATGTACATGCAGCAGAGGCGGTTCGAGGCGTGGTTAGGCTCATCGGCCCACGGGGTAGCCGGAGCTCGGACAACTGGGCGGAATTGAGACCGAGGGATGAAAGTCGACGGCGCAGCTGCCACGAGACATGCCAGCGCTCAAATAGAATGTTCCAGCCGAGGCAACTGATGGGGCTGATCCGGCTGATTGGGTGGTCGGGTAGCCTTGTCGACCGGGCTGGAAGTTGGGCGTCAGGTGTACACCAGTTCGAGGGTCAGTGGGTGCAGATGGGGCCAGGAGGCTGGACGGACTGGCCAAACCGCGTTGGCCTCGAAGGCTGGAGGCATAGTAACCCGTGGGATAGCCGGCCTCGTGGTTGGCGACCACAGGCAGGCTCTGGTAGCAACAGGCCATCGGGCCCGTCAGATCGGATGAATGCCCGCCTGGCTGATGCTGATGCTGATGCTGGTGTTGGTGCTGATGTGGAACTTGGTTCTGTTGGTGTTGGCTTAAGGAGGACAGCATTGGGGTGTGTCGTGAAGTCGGTAGTCTAGCGACGTTATTGTAGACGACGGAGGCGTCGGCGTTGCTGTTTGCATTGGCGTCGGCGTCAACGTGTCGAGGCGAAGTAAGCGACGTTGTGCTCTGGCAGGCAGCTCTGTTGACCGCGAGGCCGTCGCCGACGTAAGTGGAGGGGGCCGCCGATGTGAGTTGGAGTGTTCGGACCAGATTGACTCCACTTTCTTCCTCCTCCTCTTCCACCTCCTCCTCCTCCTCTTCCTCCTCTTCTTCTTCTTCCTCTTCCTCTTCCTCTTCTCCTTCTCCTTCTCCTCTCTCCCCTTCGTCATCTTCTTCCTCCTCCTCTTCTTCCTCTTCTT